GCGGTGGTAAAATCATTTGAACCATCAGTAGTACAATGCTTGTTAGATCCATGGTTTCGAGAAGTCGGCTTCATAATCTGCTACGGCGCCATTATTTTGAAGCTTTACAGACATCTTATAGAGTTTCGAACGAGGAAAGCCCATAGATGGGTGGTCAAGGATACAGATCTTCTTAAGTATCTGCTTATCATGACCATGTCGGTAAGTACGCCATATTTGTAATACTAACCGTAAATTAGTATCAATAATCTGTGATGTTTTTGATTGTGTGCCATCAAAATTCGTCACAACAATAAGTACTGGTGAAGAGAGATTAGTTTACATAAAAAATTAATTAAAATTGGATATTTATTTATGGAAACATATTTCTGGTAAAAGTCTATTTTCATGGAGTTTAATTACATCTATTTGCATTTGCACTTAATCAAAAATCATAAAATAGGACAAGAGACATGTAATTTTGATGTAAAATATTTGGAACGTTTTGATACTTTGTTTTGCTCTATCCACTTTGTACCGTGGACCTGTTGAAATACGTTTTAATTATATTTAAAACATACAGTATAACGACTTTATTTATTATTTACTGTGAGAAAACCTGTGTAAAACCCTTAGTAAGTGAGGCGGCTGTGCGGATCGAACCAACTACCTTAATAACAATTTTTGCATATTTTGTATCTGTTTTATCTCAATATTCTACTAGCAAATCTCAATTAATTAAGTATATATTTTTAATATTTCCAATGACTACCTATCTTTTAAAGAATTATATTTTTGTTCATTTACAATATTACAGAAACTAAAGAATCAATTATCCTGAAATCTAAATTGAAACTACTATAAAGGGTGTAACTACATAAGTGTAAAACATTTAAGGGGGTGATTCCTCATCGAAAAAAAGATGGGATCTTTGATATAAAGAAACTTCATTGGAGTATCACTTGTTTAGATACAGCCCTTTAAAGGGGGTACATAAAATTTGTTTAACAATTTTTTTCACAAGCACTTAACAAATTACAGTATTGAAATTAACCTGTCATTTTGTACTACCAAAAAGACACTTAGCTAGTAATTTATTTGGTTTACCCCATGGTTGTAAGGGGTGGAAAACGCAACCCCTAAAATTTCGTTCCAACGTAACTTTTTGTTTTATTATTTGTTTACCATTTAAAATTTTATTTCCGATAGCCTGTTTCATTTTAAACAAAAAATGTCTCCTGAATTTTTTGCTAAAAATAAACCAGTTCGCAACAAAAAATTATTTTACGAACAAGATAAATATCGCCATAAAACGAAAATACGAAACTAATTTATCTAGTAGGCCGCTATTAGAGATACTGACAATTACATTGAAATCAAGCTGTCAGTTTGTAAATTTTTGAAATTGAAGTAATACTACGAAAGGAACACCTCTTATACCCTGTATAAATCACAATTATACTAAGTGCCATTATTTCACTTAAAATCGATTGGCTCGAAACGTCGATAAATTTTCCTAGTTCACATTCGCTCTTTTAACACAATTATGAGAAAAGCTCACAGATGGTTACTCAAAGACTCGCCGATTTTCTTATCATGATCACGTTGGTAAGTTAGAGAACTTTACTCGAGTTTAAAGTAGTTTTCGTGTTCTCAAATTGTTTGTCATGCACAAGTTACCGTTTATGAATTTGTCGCGAATGTTTAGAGACCTTTAGATTATCTGGGTAAGGTGAAAGTCTGGAATAATTAATTATTCTGTAAAGTAACTAAGTGAGAATGGAAATCTATTAGAGAACATTAAAAATAGGTTGTTAACAAGTTTGCCTGGTCTTGACAATAGCGAGAGTGAAAAGCATGAAAACCAGAGATAACAGAAATATAACTCTAGCAAATGGTTGATGTAATTGTGTGGTAGATAAAAATAAATGAGAAAAAAAATAAAAGCAGCTACAAGCGTTAGACTTTTATTAATTGACAATACTTGACATTCTACATCATAATCATCACAACTAAAAACAAAACAAATATTATACAGGAACACTCAAAATTCTTGTTCATTCTTCAATACTTCCTCCTGAACAAAATTTACTTGAATAAATTCCCATCAATGTCCTCAGTTTTGTAAACCTAGTCTTTGGAAGAGATTTAGTTAACAGGTCTGCTACATGTTCTTCTCCAGGAATTTGTTCTATAAAGAAATAACCTTCAGCAAACTTTTCTTTAATGAAATTGTAACGAATCAATGTGCTTAGTGCGTTTATAAAATTCGGGATTCTTGACTAGCTTCACAGCACTAGCATTGTCAACTTTCAGTACAGAAGTTGGCAATTTACAGGAAAGCAGCTCATAAAGAAGTTTATGAAGCCAAACGATTTCTCTTGCAGCTTCGCAACTGGCAACAAATTCTGTCTCTGTTGTTGACAAGGCCACAGAGCGTTGTTTTTGACTTGACCATATAACTGCCCCATTAGCTAATTTACAGATTACTCCAGAAGTAGACCTTCTGGTTTGGAGTCGTAATCGGCATCACTGAAAACTTCTAAATTTTCTGATCCAAACTCAAAATATATTCCTAAATCTGTTGTTCCGCGTAGATACTTTAAAATTCTTTTTACATATAACCAGTGGTAATATTTAGGATGTGAAAGATTTTGAGAAGCTGTATTCACAGCATAAACTATGTCAGGTCTGCTCACCACAGCTAGATACGTAATACTTCCTACTGCTGCTCTATAGGGGGTACTTTCATCTAAATCTTAGCCTTCCACCACAGCATTACATTTTTCCGAGGGTGTCGAGACTGGAAACGACTCATTCATCTTAAATTTCTACAAAATTCTTTTAGTATATGGTTGCTGGTGAATGAATTAAAAATTTCATTGACAACCATGTCATTTTCACCAGAAATCAACCCATCATCGACATATAGGACGAGTAAAATTTTGGGATCTTTATTTGAGCAGTATAGACAAGGATCTGCTACACTTTGTACTAAATCTAAAGTTTTTAAAAAGTCTGAAAATCTACGATTCCAGCAACGTGGAGATTGCTTGAGACCATAAAGACTTTTTAAAAGCTTACAAACTCTGTTACTTCCATCCTGATATCTTTTGGGCTGTTGCATATAAATTTCATCAAGAAAATCATTTAGGAAAGCTGTCTTCACATCAAACTGAAGAATTGACATTTTTCTTAGGGTTACGGTAGCAAGGAAACATCTTATTGTCTCAAATCTTGCTACTGGTGAAAAAGTTTCTTCGTAATCCACACGAGACGAGCTTTATACCTTGCAATAGTACCGTCAATGTTTTCTTTAATTCTAAAAACCCAGCGACTTGAAATGGTTCTTCTTCCAGGAGGGAGATCAACGAAAGTCCACGTTTCATTATCCTTAAGAGATTTAATATCTTCCTCCATAGCAGACTTCCATTCCAAAGTGTCTTCTGACTTTAAAGCTTCCTCATATAATTTGGACTCCAGTAGGATGGCTCTCTGTAACCATAGCACATGCATCAAACCAGACAAGTTGCTTTAGCTTTGATCTATCTCTTAGACCTTCTTTCCTAGTTGTGAAATGCTTGCTTTCTGTCGTTTCCTTTATTTTACGATTATTTTGTATTTTATTATCCCTTGGCGACTTTTCCATTTCCTCTTCATTGTCATTTATGTCATAAGTTTGACTAGTCTAGTCAACATACTTTATATTTAATTTACTTTTTACTGTTTCTTCCTCCTTAAATATAACGTCTCTAGTCTCTACTTAGAATAACACCATTCTTGTGAGTAATCCATATTCTGTAGCCCTCTTTGTTTCCACAGTATCCAACAAAATAGCCTTGCATATTCTTTTTATCCTATTTCTGCCTTTTTGTTTGAGTACGTGTAAAAAGCATTCAGATTAAAAAATTGTAAAGTGATCTATAGATGGTTTTTACCTGTCCATAGTTCAAATGGTTGCTTATACATTTTTCGATAATAATACCAATATACATAGAAACTATCTCCATTAAATACATAATTCACATTCAGAATTCAGGTTTTCGGTTCACGTAAACTTTAATACCAAATATTCATGAATCCTGTCGACGTGGACGTGGCGTAAGTGGAAATGTCCTTTCAAATGAAATTAATTGAACTCCAGGCAAATTATGTTCCAAAAAGTCAGTTTCGTGAGGTACCTTCGCAAGATTTTAATGTGACATGTGATTCCAAAGATTAATATCCAAATTTAATTAATTTTGTATGTAAAATAATGTCTCCATTTGGCAGTACTCTTGGCGAGAGCAATATTTTGCCAAATATATTACACTAAATCATAAAAACAGATCAAGAATTATCGATATGAAAGAAGGTATCGTTTTTTGGACCCGTTAAGGATGTGATTAAAATTTATAGATAATAAAAAATATATACTTCTCAAAATGGCAGTTATCAAAACGGCTAATATCTCAGACAGAGAGGACAGTAAACAATTTTTTTGTTGCCATGATACACATACTTTGATTACTGTACGGTGCAAGAGAGAGGTCCGACACGCCCAACATAGGACGCAGCCATTTTGATTCCTCTGCCACAGTTTATAGCTAAAGAATCAGATCGCTCACTCTGCGTCGGCACTTTTGATCTCAATGTTCCAGTTTATACACTGCGCAACTCGGATAATACAATATATGACAACCGCCTATAATAAAACAGCAGTGTTCTTCTTTCCTCTACTCATAATTTTCTCAGTCTGCTTTAGATATACTTTAATGATTCCTGTTGTATTAGCCAAAGGAGGGAAAAAAACTTTTGTACTATTTTGCGATATTTGGCTGTGAGATTTTCTTTTATTATTTTATATTCCCTTTTATTCACATTTGGAATAATTATCCTATTCATAATTTTCTTGACTTCAGAAATACCTTCCAGATTCAAATAGAAACCGTTTCCTGTTAAATAATATCCTATATTTAAGGTTATCAAAGCGTAATTATGTTTCTAAAATTAGATCTATTATAGGGCGCCAGCCTTTTAAATACCACTTCTGAGTTTCTATCTAGTATCCTTTTTCAATCAAATCAAGTGAATCAAAATGGTAAACGCTGTACACTAAAATGAAGGGAAAATGAGATTTTCATTACCAACTTTCTAAATAATTTTCCAATTACATGGAAAAGGAGGATACTAAAGCTTTGGATTGGTCTATTTTTTTTGTACGTATATTACCCCATAACGAAAGAAATATTCAACCCGATTTAAAAGTATTGATTTTGTATTAAGGTTACAAGCAAGCCAATATAGATCTTTTTCATTGAAACTCGTAAAACGGTAATAGAGCATTGGAGGGATAAAAAAATTACCTTTGTATGTTAGAACATAAAAAAATGAATTTTAAAATTGAAAGATTCTTGATATGCTTGAATGTGGATTTGGATTCTGACCTAGTGACCTAAGAGAACAATTTGCTAAATGTTAACAATTAACTTGAGATTGTGGGGATGGATTCCTAATAAATAGATAGTTACGATATAAGTGCAGTATGAACATTATTAATACTCGTATATGCATGTGAAAATAAGTATATTAATAATGTGTTACCGGCACGAATATTGTACAATATTTTATCTACAACTGTTATGTAACAACAACTCCGAAAATTCGAAATTATATTGAATCAAATTATGTCGGCATATCGTTAAAATTGACTATTTGCGAATACAAGTAACCTGTCAGTATTTTGTAACCATAGCAACGGAATTAATAATCAACTTCTGTCAAAGTGGCGTTTAAAATCGTAAAAATTCTGACTTAATATCGCTCAAATAACCTTTACAAGGCGCTAGTTCAGTGATGATGTAATTATGGTTCCACTGACAATTAAAGTGACAGTAGATTTTTTGAGTGCGTTTTGTTAGTTTTGTTTACCTAAATTATATCGTTTTTTTCACTTTTATAAATATAATAATAATAATAATAATACTCTCCCTAATTCACCCCCTTACGAGTGAATTTCAACCCCTGAATTCGACTGAACGACTTGTGTAGGGGAAGGGACGGCTATTATTATTATTTGCCGTGGCGCTCCGGGGCGACTTAAAGAAGATTGATGGTGCCATTTGACTTACAGGTGAGGAAAACCCGGAAAACCTCACCCACCATCATCGAGACGGTAATGTATGGCGAATTTTTTTAATCTGCATGTCATATCATTAGAAATTGAATTTCTATTAATACGCCACACATCAAATCCTAAACCGAACCATGCAATTTAATTAAAAATCCACATGATCTGGTCTGGGATTCGAAACCCAGCAGTCTCAGACTCATAAACTTGCCTATAAATGAATATAAGCGCGATAGACCGCTACACCACCGTCCTGTTCCTAAAGTAAGTAGATAGCATGTATCAAATATACAATCGTTTAGTTACCAATTACATACCTTTAAACTATTTTTTATGACCTGTAAACAATATTTTGAAATAAAATAAAAACAGTAAAAACGTATATATCAAATTTATTGATGTTTTTGTTAAAAGTTTGGTTAGAATTAAATGTCATTGGAACCAAAATGACATCACACTGAACTAGCGCAGTACATATATTATCAATTATGTCTTCAAGTGAAGATGATCTTCCACAAGATATTGAAAATGCAGCAACCGGCGTAATATAAAATTTAGTACCACAGAAATCACGTGAGAGATATCATTTAACTTATGACAAATAATGAGGAATGGTGTAAAGATAACAAAATTTTAAATATTACAAATGAAAAAGCATTATTGGTATATTTCAACGAATTGAGTAAATTACAGAAACCTACATCTCTTTGGTGTTACTACTCGATGTTGAGGACATAATTACTTATTAAACAAAATATCGATATCAAAAAACATATCAATTTGATAGTATTGTTAAAACGAAAATCAGAAGGGTACAAACCTAAGAAATCTAAGGTATTTTCGAAAGAATAAATAACTAAATTTATTGTAAATGCAGGAGATGAGAAATTTTTATGCATGAAGGTAATATATTGTGATGTTTGTTTATTTTCAAACAACAGTTTAATTATTAATAATTTATTTAAACACTTATTTATTTTAAACAATACTATTTTAATTTATATATACTTCGAATGTCTTTAAACTGATCACTATTTATATTCACCACTGTCTATCTACTAATTACTATTTATCTTCACTGTCCATATATCAACTTATTTTGATGGCTCTCCTCCACCAATTTATATACAAATTGGTTATATAGAATGCTCCCCCACCAAAATTACCAGTATGTACCAGAAACGTTATCACGTTCTAGAAATAGTATCTCGTTGATCCTGGAATGTTCGCGAAAGTATCTCCACCATAGTCGTCCCATAGGTTTGGTCTTAAGGGGTTTAATTATGTATAATAATCGGACAAGTGGAGCCTCAAAGGCCAAATAAGACAGAGAGAGACTTGTAGGGTTAGAGCATGACTGAATAATGAAATGGCTCACATAACAATATAATAGATATTTGTATAAATGTAAATAAATATTAATGTAATATATATTTTAAGGTTGTGCTAATTATTGGTTTGGCAGGTGCATGTCGGAGAGAAGAGTTGACAAATTTATTGATAGAAAATGTAAAATATCAAGGATTTTGCTATCAATTTGTCATTCCAAATACCAAAACAAAAATATCGCGAGAATGTTTTGTTACATCTGGGAACATTGATGGTATTAATTTAGTTACAATTGTTAGAAAATACTCTACATTAAGATCTAAAAGTTGTGGCCATCAACGATTTTTTGTTGGATACAGAGCAGGAAAATGTACAACAGAACCTATTGGAATAAATACTATTGGTAGTGTTCCAAGATTAATTGCCGAATTTCTTGAACTGCCCAATCCAAAGCAGTATTATACAGGGCATTGTTTACGGCGTTCTTCAACTTCAATTTTAGCCGACTCTGGTACAGATCTTCTAAATATTAAAAGACATGGCGGCTGGAAGTCTAATTCTGTCGCTGAAGGATATATTGATACTTTGGCAGAAAATAAGAAAAAACAGCTTTGAAAATCTTGGGAGAAAACCAAGAAAATATACCATCGACTTCAAAACATATGGAAACTAATATTTTCAATTATCGGGCATCGGGCATGTCTGCATCTGGCAAGGATTGCATTATAAATATCTATAACAAATAATTTTTTTATATTGAGTTCATTATTAATATTATATTTGTTCTGTTTTGTTAAATAAATTATTAATTTTAATTAACTATTAGTTCCGCGTCATTACCGCACTAGTGCGGTAATATACGCCATTACAAAATTTAAATAAGTGTCAAATCAGTGTCATTACATTACAGTTGTAGATAAAATATATTACAGCACTCTGAATTACGTTTTTATTATTAGTAAATGTTTCATTTTTTTTTGTACTATGGAATGGATCGAACCTAGGCATATATGCATGTCTTGTGTGATCCCTTTTTCCATAAGAAAAAAAGTACTAGTTTATTTGAACTGTTGATTTTTGCATATTTTTTTTATAATAGAAAGAATAATATAGTGCATGCGTGTGATGTTTGTAGGGTTTAGAAGATAAGAGGATACTTTGAATGAGAATAGGTTATCGTAGACAGGATATAAAGTTTAGGAATTTTCGGTGGAATTTAAGTAAGAAGAAAGTAACATTAAAAGGCAAGTGTGAGGTAATAACTTAAGTAGGGGGAATATGAAGTATTTTATAAAAAGTTTGTAAACGTTTAAAAGTGATATATTAGAAGGTTGGTTTGATGGAAGAACAGAAGAGAGATGATGAGAGCGAGGATCAAGTAGGACAAGGAGGTATGGAACAGCAAAATGTAGGAGATACAATTATTATTAAAGAAAAAGATAGAGATAAGAACAAAATGGATCATCTGTATATTTTACATATTTGTTTAATTTACATACGACAGTATTACCAAATTTTCTTATTTCTCAAACCCCATGCACAATTTAGAACATTATTTTCAGTTCATGGCCTTCTATAAAAAAAGTATCTTGAATAAAAAAAATTTTGCAACAATGTCACATATAAATTGACCATCGAGACTAGCACAGACCGCGATGCTACAGGATGGCGATTGCCTAATGCGCTCCTACCTTTATTATGCTTACATAAACTTTATTTTACAATACGCTCATGTATTTGCATTTTAGTGCATAAATTACACCTTGATAGAAAAACTCTCCGTTTAAGTTATATATAACGGCTTGAGCAGCAACTCAATTTAAACATTAAGCACTGTTATAATTCTTTCGTTTTCCAGGTGCTGGCCTATATGGCAGCGTACACTTCCATAACTCTCAACTTCATTCAAGAAAATTACAGCCTTCTCTATCTCGGCCGGACCCTGGACGGGGAACGTTATTACGCTTGTAAGTCGCTCTGGTGGGACTACGTAACGGAGACCGGGGAACTCGTTATATTAATATTCGGGATCCATCTCAGCTACGCCAGTAGGAATGCCAGGACGCAGTTTCACGTGAGTCTTTACGATATTACATTTTTATTGCGAGAAAATTGTTCTCTGAAAGTATGTGTGTCAGTTCCTACAGAGGGTTTTAAAAAGGAATATTATTTATTTTTCTTTGTGAATCTTTAATATTTAAATTGCATAGATATTATTATTACCGCAGGTACTATCTTACAGTCCTACGATTTATCTCAGTTAATTCATGAATCGAATCGGTATGTGTACATTCCCGCAAGTAGGAACAATAGAAAAATAGACTGAATGTCTTCCAAAGTTGTTCTATTAAGTAATAGTTAAAAAAATAAAACGATTAAGATAAAACGATTGAGACCAAATTACTTACCCAAACTACATCTAAGGGTGACGTGAAAGCTCTCCTTAATTCCGGTATCCAAGGGATGATCCAGACTTCTTCCTACCACATGTTTTATTATTCTAATTTTACAGATAAGAAGGTTTTGCACAAACATTTAGTTTTACCGGTTCTCGATACGCTTATTTCGCACTGACCTTTTTAAAGATCTTCGCATGGTACGAATCTACAAACGTGACTGGGTCTCAAAATCCACGTAAATATATTTGAATCTACTAAAAGGCAACTCAAAGTACACGTGACTTGATGATTTGTTTAATATATTACCCCTCGAAATGGCAAAGATTTGAAATAATTAGGATTCAACAGTATGGATGCTACTGCTTTGGACTTGGTTATATTATGCTCTGAAACTATCAAGGATAAAGTATCTGTAACTGATGCATCTTTTGTAGCTGATCACTGTATATAATATGTAACATTTTCCAATAAAGCTCCAAAAAAGATCCCTCCTTTATCACGTTTAGAAATTTCAAGTCTTTTAAATTTCCCCTTTTATTGCTAAATTGGAAGCAGCTAATTTTGATAAAAGTTTTCATTTAGATAATATTGCTGATAAAATTGATTATTTTAGTAAAATCCTTCTCGCCCTTTTTGACGACCACGCACCACAAAAGACTGTAAAAATCACACGTTCTTCTGCTCCTTGGATCACGTACACAATTAAGAAAATGATGTTTCTTAGAGAGAGAGCATTAGTATGGTTTAGTACAAACAGTGTTCAAGGTCATTGGGAGTATTACAAACAGTTAAGAAATGAAATAAAGACAGCAATACAAAGAGAAAAATGGCTTATTTAGAATTTAATTTAAGAAACTGCGGAATTTAAAAAACATTCTGGAAGGCATTACGTAATCTAGATATTTACTCTAAAACTGGTGGAATCGAGACCTTTCCAAAAAAAGAGCAGATGTTCGTAAACTGTTTAACCTGTTCAAAAGGTCGGGGAACTGGGAAGTCTACAAGGCGTACCGGAGAGAATATGGTTATACCATTAAGAAAGCCAAAGAAAATTACCGGAAGAAATTCTGTGACGGCATTGAAAGCCTTCCAGAATGTGCTAGACTTAGAAAAACTCTACAGAGAGATAAGCAATGATGCATGGGATCTCTGAAAAATCAACAAGAAGAACTCACAAAAACAAAGAAGGAGACTTTAGATTTACTACTAAAGTCACACTTTCCTGGATGTGAGATAATTATTGACCAAGAGAACAGGAGTATCGAGTCACTAATTTCTAATGAATAAATTATTGTTCAAGTTTGATTTATAAATTCATTGCAAGTAAACAATTTTCATATTTCTTAAAGATTCCCAGCTGCTTGCTGTCCCCACAGAGCTTAGTACCGTATATCCAGATTTGTTTTAATAAATGTAATTTCGTATATTAGAAGTTTATTGTATAAATGTTAAACACTCCATATAATTTATTATAAAGTTATTTACAAAGATAAACACAAATAGTTAGAATTAATGACATCGTAAGTAAGTACGGAAATAATAGTTGCATATCGCATACCTTAAGATACTGTCTTAGGTCCTAGGTTGTTTAATTTTTATTTTAAATAATTTGTCGTTTATATACAGATGGAACTATTGTAAGTTTTTAAGACGACACAGCTATCTTGTAAAATGCAGAGAACTGAAATTGATTAAAATTATTAATATGGAAACAGATCTTATAAAAATTGACGAATGGTTCAATTATAAAAACTTACAAACCTTTGATAAAACTTATGTTGTTCCATTATGCAGTTACAAAAATATGCCCTCTTCCTATAGAAACATAATTAAAGGTAACGTCCAGCAGTTTCATATAAGTATTACAAATTATATCAAATACCTTGGAGTACAAATTGACTCTCATCTTAACTGGACTAAGCATATAAATAATGCGTTGCCTTTTACCAAAATTTAAATTCCAGCGATCAAATTTGAATGTACATTTAAAAATAATCTATTTTGCACTCACAGAATCGTTATTACTTTTTCGTCATACTGTACTATTATCTTACCATAATATGAGCGAAATTGATATCGAAAAGGTGCATTTAATGGCCGCCGGCCGTTAAATAAAATAACGGCCGCGCACCACCTACAACAATCACAACAATCTAAAGTTGCCTAGCAACCACATCAATATACTATACAAACATTGTAAGTTTGACAGTACTGTTTCTTGTTGAGTGATTATAGAGCGGAAAAGATCAAAGATGGAAGAAATTTTCGAAAACGATATTCCCTCCGATGTACTGGAAGAAGCAGCTGCGACAACCAAAAATTTATTTCCGAGTACAACCCAACAAAGATATCTGCAGGAATACGACAACTTCGTGAAGTGGCGTCAGAATAAAAACATACATAGTGTAAGTGAAGAAGTACTGCTAGCTTATGCAAAAGGAATGTCTGAAACGTATTCTCCTACATCACTGTGGACAAAAATATCAATGCTGAAACTTGCGTTAAGAATACATGAAAACATTGACATATCAAGGTAAATTACTATACTATCCGCCAACATTGAACTAACTATATACTCATCGAAATTATGTTTGTTTGTAGATTCGGTAAACTATTCTTGTTCCTGAGGCGCAAAAATGAAGGTTATACCCCAAAGAAAGCCAAGGTTCTATCGAAAAATGATATACTTAAATTTTTGCTGGACGCGGATGATCGTACCTGGCTACTGGAAAAGGTTGTGTTAGTGCTCGGTATTCTAGGAGCTTGCAGGAGAAGTGAACTTACGTCTCTCACCATTAACAGTTTCGAAGATACAGAGAAAAACATCCTCGTATCACTAAAAAATACTAAGAATAAAAAAGACAGAAATTTTCTTATCCCAAAAACAGGACTTCCATTTGATGCATATAGTTTATACAAGAAATACAGTAATCTGCATCCTCCTAGTTTCAAAAAACAGAGATTTTTCGTTGGTTATAGGAATGGCAAATGTGTGCAGCAAGTCGTCGGCATACATACCATCGGAAGCGTTCCTAAGAAAATTGCCACCTTTTTAAAACTTGAAAATCCCGAACTTTATACAGGACACTCATTTCGTAGAACATCAGCAACTATGCTCGTAGAAAATGGTGGTGACTTACTGTCATTAAAAGAACTGGGAGGATGGGAATCATCAACGGTGGCGGAAACTTACATAGAAAAATCGGTTTCTAAAAGAATGAAAATAACAAAACAACTTTTTCCAAATAATCCGGAGAATATTGCATCTTCAAGTACTGCAAATAGTTCACATTCTTCAGAAATATCTTCCTCTGTAAAATCTAAATATCCTTGGGACGGGTTACAGATTTCAAATAACACCAATTGCGAATTCAATTTCCACATCCATTACAATAAGGAATAAATTGTTTTATTCCGTACCTATCTTTTAAGAGTTACGTTTAATAAAATTTGTTCTTAAATTAGGTGTTTTGTTTTTGTAGCAGTATGACGAAAAATCTTGAACGAAACACGGCCGATAACAGCAAATAACGGCCTTGGCTGTTTATGATCCTCGGCTATCGCCTCGGATCACAAACTTCAGCCCGGCCGTTATTTGCTATTTATCGGCCTTATAACGTTAATAACTATATAGGATCCTTTCATGCAAAGGTATTATACCAACTTATGCAAAATTTAAGTCCTGCAAAAATTTTACTAATAATAGCTTTGTTCGCGGTAACAATCCTGAACTGATTCAGAAGTAGTAATTCATACTTTGAGCGCATGTCCGAATCATTGCCAATTCAGAATTTTTACCGCACCCGCTATCCCTATTATATCTCGGTGTTTCAGGTATAGACAAGCGATTCAAAGTCAATAATAATTTTACCGCTAACACAGAATAGAACCAATAGTTCAGTTCTTTTTGTTCCCCGAACGCTTTTTAACTGCTGCGCTTGAGAAATCGTTACTATTAATAATAATTCGGTTCAAGATTCTTGCCGCGAACAAAGCTATTATTATGTAATAAAATGATCAGATCTTCTCTTTGATATTAGGAAGTTTCTTATGTACTCAGACTTGCATAATATAATTACAAACACAAATACATGCCTACGGCGCGGCGTTGTGCTCAAATTTCGTCTTCGTGCGATATGGCCATCATATCCACTCTTGTTAAACAAACGTACTATTTTTTAAAGCATCTAAAAAACATATTTAATTTTCAAACCTTAATAAACACGACATACTGTTTTTGTAAAATTTATACAATTTGTAAAATTTAAATTAATAAAAATATTGTCATAATTAAGACGTAAAAAAATTTACAAATTTCTTTTATTAATACACTATTGCTTTGATTTTTCAAATTAAATCCCTCTATAATTTATACCGAAAATATTTTCCTATATTTATCCCACCCATCAAGAAATTTTTAAGTAAAATTAATACACATAATGATGATTAATTAAAAAAATGCAAACTTCTCGCAAGAAAATAGCTATTCGGTAAAATGAGAGAAATCGGTAAATTTAGATAATATAAAAATGAGAATTTATTATTCTTTTTTCTACGCACCCTTATGACAGTACGTCACTAATAAACCGGAAACACTTCTCGCCATATTCGTCTAGTTCACTGTCAAAATTAGATACCATCGCGATTCCAAGGTCATTTAGGATTCTGCCTTCTT